GGTGTGAAGCAAGAGTAACTCGCATTCTGGGAAAAAATGTCTATGTGGTCAAACCATTAGATTGTCAGCTGACATGGAAAAGACATACTAATCAAATTAAAACCGTTCTTCATGATAACACTGAAGATGATTCTGATAGTAATTATGAATTCAAGCAAACAAAGGAACACATAAGTGATCTTAGTAGTAACGATTCCTTCAGTGATGCAGAAGACACCACAGATATTGTTTCTCATGATGAAAGGGAAGTAAACCTGGAGTCTGATGGTATTGATGAAAAACTAGAGTCATGTAATCCTGAGCATTCAAACATTCAAACTCGAGCTCAAATCAATAACGATTCGCAGTCAAACGACGACTCCATTTTTGCTCGCCCAGTACGCATCAGGAAGATTCCTAATAGATTTAGATTTTAAGTGCATTCGAATTGTCGTTAAATTGCCAGCTTTTAAGGGTGAGGTGGTGTAGTGTATTGACCAACCTTTACGAGGTAGTGTAGTGTATAGACTATCCTTTACCTATCTATGCGCACGCACCATGTCACCTGCTATCATGTCAGGTGCCAGCAGTTTATCAGGATCACCGAAATAGATAATGTCGGCATTGTAATTTAACAGTTTTGAAGTTAATAAATAACGGTAAATGCAATTCGTGTTTCAATTAAGCAATCGAGGACGTGATACATTCATTATTCAATTTTTTTTTGGGATTTTCTCTCCTCGTTCCTAAAAATTGAAAATATTAATATTATTTCAATATACGTGTAGTAAGGACAAATCCGATGATTTGCCCCAAAATGTCACTGCGTTTAAAGAATTTTCCTATCAGAGAGCCTAAAAGATAAATTCACTAGCTTGTTAGTGACAATTTGTATTGAAAAAAGTTTGCAGAAAAGAAATAAAGGTATATAGAAAAAATATCAAATTTGCACTCATCTTTGGACGTTTCGGGACCGAATCTGCTCCCGTTTTCGACATAAGAAATGATTTTTTCAATAGCAAAGTCGTATCTGTTTTGAAGCTTTTCAGTTCTCATTTCAATCATTTCTTATGTTAAAAACGGGAGCAGATTCGGTCCCGAAACGTCCAAAGATGAGTGAAAATTTGACATTTCTTCTATATTCCTTTATTTATCTTCTCCAAACTTTTTTCAATACAAACTGTCACTGACAAGCTAGTGAATTTTTCATTTAGGCTCTCTGATAGGAAAATTCTCAAAACGCAGTGACATTTTGGGGCAAATCATCTGATTTGTCCTTACTACACGTATATTGAAATAATATTCATATTTTCATTTCATAGAAACGAGGAGAGAAAATTCCAAAAAAATTAGAATAATGAATAATAAAATAAATGAAAAATTATTGAACTTGAATGAAACTAAAATGCAACGTTCTGTTGTGAATGAAAAAAAAAATCGAACAAATAACAAAAAGAACATAATGTTCAAGATAATAAAATGAATAATGAGATACTCAATATCAACGAACCTAAAATAACTGATAAATGAAGGAAATGTTGCATTTTGATATCTGGAACACAGATACCGGATGTGTATTGAAACGAATCTTTACCAACATCAGTTCCCGAAACGACACATTTCACATGACTGACCCTATGGCAGCTACTACATTTCACTTCACTAGATGAAGGTCTATTTATTTCCATTCCACAAAATAAACATTTCTCAGACATGTAATCGGATGAATTCATTATAATGTTCTTGAGACCCTGTCGATACTTCATTATATTAACATTGCTTCTTAGACATTACTCACTTGAAATTTCATCAAAGAAATACAAAATAAATATCCCACAACTGAAAGCGTCATCTTGTTCATCATGATCTTTGATTTCTATACTCCAGTTTGATACATCTATGTAACATTCATTAATTCCATTATAATAACATACAAATTTGATGAAATTTTCAAGATATTTCGATGTCTCACTTCTTGTACTCTGGAATGGATTCATGGAAATGAATTTCTTTCTTTTCATATCTGCAAGTGCCAAGTAAAAGTGATGGGAGTGAGATCGATCTGTAAAGTCTGAATAATTTTGAAGAACAGGAAATACTACAATGTCCCTTTGAAAGGTGAATTTATCAATTGAGGGGTGTTTTGCTCCAGAAGCATACAAAAAAATTCTAGTGGAAAGCATACACGTAACGATTTGAAAATTGGCTTCCGTGGAATTGAATATATTCAAACATATCTACAATAAAATTAATTAGCCAACATTTTCCGGATAATATCTCGAAGTCTTCATTAGTTATTTCAGTAACATCGCAATTGAATTTTGAAAAGTATGTTATGTAGTATCTTCTTCCAATGTCGCCATAATACTCTGGATCAGATACTAAGCCGTTTGCTAAAATTGATATATCTCTTTCTGTCTTCCGTTTCATAAAATTAGTACTAGGTTGTTCGTTTGAAAAGCTGGGTAATATCATTGAATAAAAAAATCTACTCCATTCGGGAAACAAGCGACTCTCAACAATTTATATCCCTTTGAACGCGCACAAGTTTCATTCCTTGGAATGTCCAAATCACAAAATCGCACCAATCTCTGTCTGTGATTTCTAGAAGACCTTGAACTTGATAATAATATATATGAGATTCAGATAATGTTCCTGTTTTTTTGTCAAAATATTTTATCAGTCTCTGAGAACAAGCTTCATTCGGGTTCAAATTCCTACATGTGTAGGGGCATTTCACCTCAATTAATCCATCATCTGCAACTAGTCCATCTGCTGACCCAGCAATGAATTGGTGAATTCTATGAATGTGCAAACCAGACTTGGTGCACCTAGAGCTAGTTGTAGTATCATATTCGGCAATAGCCTTTTCTCATTATCGATACCGTGTCTTATTGAAGCAGAATTTATAATTCTATGATTCAACATGCGCTTCAATATCGCGATCAAACTATCATCACTTGTACTTTTTGAAACACTTCCAAAATTTGATGCAGTCACACGTATGCGTCGTTCATGAAACCACAAATCGGAGAGTCTTTGATCCCTAGATCGTACTTCAATTTGATGTAATTCAGAGTAAGATTTTTGGTAATTTTTTTCGAAAATTGAATTGCATGTGTTTGAAACCTCATTTGAGTATGAAATATCTTCTCCAAGATGTTCACGTCCCGTCAATGATACTTTAGGTCGATCATCATTTTTAGTATTATGGGTCTCACAAAATTTACAAAAAAAACTACCACTCAAACTTTTATCCAAGGTTCAAATACACACTACATGTACCCACCCATCGCATATATCGCATTGCAACCAATCAGCTTCGAATCCCAATTCACATTTTTTACAATAGATGCATAGATTTGGGTCAGTATCTCTGGTTGACTGAGATCGGGAACTTTTCAGTGCATGTCTCAACGATGTTGTTGTTATGTAGCACTTCTTCATTCTCTTCTCTTCTCTTCCAAATTTCTTGAGAAGCAAGACCTCCATCATGAATATTAATGGGAATTGTACAACATTTTGTTTTAGGTATATTGAATGAGATTTCTTTCAGGATAAATAAAATGTATTTTCTAAGCTTTCTTACTATCCGACTGCTTCTTTGGCCCATGATTCCCATTGCAAGAATATTTTTTACAATTCCAAACCATCGTACTACTGGAGCAATACTAAGCCTTTCTTCGTCTGTTAAGAGAATTCCACTCCATAGGGGAGTAAAAGGCATATAATGTTTCAATGATAACGCGAAAAACTCTGGATTTTTATATTCGTACACAGGTAATTTATTATCAGAAGTTAAGGTGCAAGTATGACAAAGTGGTTTGAAATATTGACAAAAATAAGTGGTTTCGAAGGTTCCCATCATGTCTTCGTTGAAATTGAATGAGGGTTGATCTTCATCAACTTTTTTATCATAGTTATCCACTGAGCAAGAAATTTTCAATAAATTTTGAAAAGCATTATGAAAATGTTCAGTTTTAAAGTCGGAATTTGTTATAATATACACATTTTTGAACCATGCTCAGAAAATGTCCCAATCGTTGATATTGAATGCGGAGGCTAGAATTTCTTTAACGTGACGTCTTACTTCGTCATTATTTACCTGGAAATAGTTATCAACATCACGAGCCATTAATTTTACTACTAGAGAATTTATTATTATTATTATTATAAACACAATGAAATGTCATGTTAATGTAATCTTTCAACTCTAAGCCATTGAATGAAATAGAAACAGCATTCAACATTGCAAAGCTGAAGTCTGTAACCACTTTTCGAAAAACGGGCCATTTATTCTTATGAGCTGTACAAAATGAACGATATTTCAAAAGCCAGGCGCCAATGCTTCCACCATCGTGTTCACTCGAAATCATTTCAACTACATCACATAGTCTGTTATTGGATTCAATCTGAAGTACCCCAGCATAGTAATATACCTTGTTACCAGTGCAACCAGGTCGACGTACTATGCTTCCAGTAGCATCAAGGTGTAAAACTGTGTCTTTCCTCGACGATAGTAGTGAAAGTTGTTCTATACTATAAAGATAAATATGCAAAGGAATTCCCACGGATTGAATATAATTTGAATGATCTCGCTGCATTTCAACCATATCAATTATATCATCAGTATGGCGGTCATTTTTGGCAAATGCTTCAGAACGTACCTTCCTATACACTGCATCTGATTTCACTTCATCTAAATTGAATTTTTTCAAAGAATTGAGATTCAAATTTAAAACATTATTTTGTCGCTATTCTAGAGCTTTCACATTCAACATTTCTTTCTTAAATATTTTCCGATCAACTCCCCTCAGTTGTGTTGCAAGATTACCTAAATGATTTCTACCGCTACTGAATACCTCAGCTTTATGTTCTGCAGAATGAACATTAGATATGTGTCTAATAAATAAAATAAATTTCTCATAGATTGTGTGGGCACAATAAGCATATAATTTGAAAGAATCAGATTTCTTCAAATATCTGTTATGTTTGAAATATATTTTGCAGGTATTGCTTACTGGTTCTTTCTTGCCGAGTACAAAAATGTATTTCTCTTCCAATAACTTCTCATCTTCACAAATACTAGAGAAATCTACATCTGTTAAGAAAAAATATCCTTCTTCATAAATACAATCCTTGTGAGTTTTGGGCTTTGATTTATCATTTCAAATATTTATAGTTCCATGTGGCATCATTCTATTGGTTTTAATTATTTTCTCTGGAATATTTCTTAAATCAGGAGAGATAGTGAAGAAATCGGAACTAATTTCCTTGTACACTTCTTTGGTATTGGATGAATGTGTTGTGGAGGAATCACCCTTATTAGAGAAACTATCATCAGATGGTTTCATATTCGATTCAAGTACTTTACTATCTCCTGATAAACTTATCTTGAATGATGAATTGTCTAGTGGAGCATCTGGTGTGAATGAATCAATTTAAATGAACTATGTTTCAAAAATGAACTATGTTTCGAACCATCATTACTTCCAGAAAGTTTGGACAAATCACAATCAAATGTATTATCAAGTGATGAACCTTCATTCAAAGACTTCGTATTCTTCGAAACACTGCCAAAATTGATATGTTCAATGTTCCTTTTTATAAAATAACACAGTTTTCTGCGATTTTTCTCACAATTTTTTATATTCAAAAACCTACAGAGCTCAGAATATTTCGAATTCACTGAATAATAACCATCTGATATGAGACATTCTCTAGATATTTCATTTCGTATAATTATATCATTGATAATATTCAAATTGATTCTACTGGTACATTTTTTAGGAATATGAACATTTTCATCAATTTTGTTATTGTAATCATGATACTTCAATAATTGGTCAATCTTACCAGTATTCCGCTGGAAAGCTTGGTATATTGCAGAACGTGTTCTAGACGAATTTGTAGAAAAATTGTACTCTGCAGATTTATTGATGATTTCGTCATTAATTTTGAGATTTTGTAAGTTTTTGAAAGATATATGCGAGTAATGCTCGTTGAGAAATTCAACTAACATAACCACTTTAAACTTAGTAGGTCTCCCCGGCATATGGAGGCTGATTGGGATGAAATGTGATTATAGAAAATGTAATATTTACCATATAGAACAGAGGAACCCTATAAAACGTTAAGAAATCAAAGGAAAATGGAAACGAAATTAAGAAAAGTAAAGTAAATAAATACGGTATAAACCTAACCTCACATGATTCTACTTCTCTATTATGATTTGGATTGCATGTTGCATGCACAGTACTTATGGTATATTCGCTGTACCTCCAATAACTACAATATAGGACAATTATTGTGCACCAGAGTAGATTGTGTAGCACTGATACCGTTCGGTGTTATAAGGTATGTTCGTTGTCAAAGTCTCGTAACACAATAATTGGAGATAACGTACCACCAAAACAGAGTGTTAAGGCTGCGACACAATTGAAGTTGTATGCAATAAGTTTTGAGGTTTGAGATTCAAGATATATGTAACAAAAATAAAAGCAGGATGCAAAACAGAATGAAAATATAAAAGCTGGAATTGCATCAATAAGGTTGGTCGAGAGGCGTGGCAGAAACCAGAATGATTTTCACTTTGCGGCACTTCCTCGGAACACTCAGTTTTTTCAGAGTATTATTTCCGGTTGCTATGTCGTATTATATACAATTCAACAACACCAAGAATTGCTGTGATTGGTTGGGTTTCTGAATTTTAAATCTTAAAAACCATCACGTCCGTATCTTAAAACAAAGACCCAAATTATAAAACTCAACACTAAAAACATAAAACTTCAATTGTGTCGTAGCCTTTACACTTGATCTGGAGGAGGTGTGAGAAGTCGATAAGTGTAGTGCAGATAGTTGTTAGGTTAGGAGTTTGTTTTGGAGCGTAAACAACAATCTCTGTTTTGTATATCATTTAATAATTCTGGTCAACATTTCTAATCCTAAGATGGAACATTCAACTACTGATAAAACAGATTTCATTCATTGATCCCCTTTAGAAGAACTTTTAATTGATTCACCATCTAAATTCAAGAAACTGTCAAGGATTCCATCATCACTGTAATTTTTTTTAGGTTCAAAGAGTTTTTACCATGCAATTAAAATACGCGAAATCCCACTACACTTGACCACACCACATGGTCAGATGGACTGACAGTCCGGACTCCGGATTGTCCGGAACTTTGCCGGAATCCTCGGTTGGTCCTTAAATCGATCGCGGAAGGAACCAATCCTGAACTGCTTGAAAACTGAGGTGAGGTAATCTGCGAACAAAACTATTGAATAAAAGAATGAAAAAATTCGATATGATCCGCGAACTCGGAAAATTATATGTACTATTATTTGGACTGCACTTGCAAATGGCCCATGAGGGTCCCATGAACTGGTTCGAAATCATAAACGCTAACATAGCTTAATGTTCAATTTTATTTTGTCCGATTGTCACTTTTAATCAGACAACTATTATCAGCCCATGGTAGACACACTGGCACAGCGAGCTAAGCGTCTTTACTGTCCCGCTTGACGCTCGGGCTCAATCCTCGCGTGGTTCGACTTTTTCATATTATTATTACGTTGTCTTAGTCTTAAGTAATCTTTCGAAAAATAACTTCCGGTTAGGAGGTTCCGAGGTTGAGTTAGGTTAGATTGCTTAGAAAAAGTAGTCTCCTTTGTTTTCTCTAGTAATTTTCCGAAATACCGGGTGTCAACTTTCCGGTCACTTCCGGTCTTACCGGAAATGGCTCCGGTTTAGAATAGAACACCCTGTATATAATAACATTTTGGATTTCCTGAGACAACTCTGATCAGCATCCATTATTAACGAAGTTATTCAGAAAAAATCATCAAAAATGACAGATTATATTTTCTATAAATTCTCCTACGGCAATGTAAATTCACTTTAGTTCCTAAATACATATATGGAGTTATTCAAGAGATTTTAGCGAAAAAATCATTGAACGCACATCGATTATTTACAGAGATATTCCGAAAAAATCATCAAAAATGACAAATTTTATCTTTTATAAATTCTCCTACGGCACAGAAAATTCATTGCAGTCTCTAAATACGTATATAGATTCATTCTTGAGATTTTGGTAAAAAATTCATGAACGCACATCGATTATTAACAGAAATATTCCGAAAAAATCATCAAATATGACAGATTATATTTTCTATATATTCTCCTACGACACTGCAAATTCATTTCAGTTTCAATATACGTATATAGAGTTATTCTAGAGATTTTGGCGAAAAATTCATGAACGCACATCAATTATTAACAGAGATATTACGAATAAATCATCAAAAATGACAGATTATATTTTCTATAAATTCTCCTACGGCACTGCAGATCCATTTTAGTTTCAAAATACATATATTGAGTTATTCTAGACATTTAAGCGAGAAATTCATGAACGAACATCCATTATTAACAGAGATATTCCGAAAATATCATCAAAATTGACACATTATATTTTTTATAAACTCTCCTACGGCACTTAATAGTTATTTATGTATTAAGGGAATTATGAGGGCCTTAATTACCGATGGCAAAGTTTGCGACCCGAGGGCCTCTGGCCCGAGGGACAGCAATTGCCAGAGGTTATTAAGGCTCTATAATTCCCGTGATACATAGATAATTTTATTTCTGACTGATTTCATTCATTAGATACCTTCCCGATTGGAAGTTAGACATGTTTTTCCGTATAGTTTCAATGTCATCAGAACGTCAGATGATGATGATCTTGACTACCGCGAATAGGAGATTCCTTATTGCTACGTTATTGCGTGGTTGTTGCTATGAATTTCTTATTTAATTTTAGCTAGAGGGAATTATAGCATCTATAACATCCCAAGGGAGTTATGACCCTCATTATAGATATCGTAACTAAGACGATATAAGCTTATAATGTCACTGTCAGAAATAAAATTCATTTCTGTTTCTGAATACGTATATAGAGTTATTCTAGAGATTTCAGCGAAGAATTCATGAACGCACTTCCTTTATTTAAATTTTCTATAAATTCTGCTACGGCACTACGGATTCATTTTAGTTCTAATATACGTATATAAAGATTCGAGCGAAGAATTCATGAACGCACATCCATCATTAATAAAGTTATTCAGAAAAAATAATCAAAAATGACAGATTATATTTTCTATAAATTCTCCCACGGCACTTCATTTATCATTTAAGTTCCTAAATAAATATATGGAATCATTTTAGAGATTTCCGGGAGAAATTCATGAACGCACATCCATAACTAACGAAGTTATTGAAAAAAATCATCAAAAGAGGCAGATTATATTTTCTATAAATTCTCCTACGGCACTGCAAATTCATTCCAGTTTCTAAATATGTATATAGAGATATTCTAGAGATTTTAGCAAAGGATTCATGAACGCCCATCCATCATTAACGAAGTTATTCAGAAAAAATCATCAAAAATGACAGATTATATTTTCTATAAATTCTCCCACGGCACTGCAAGTCTATTTAAGTTTCTAAATTAATATATGGAGTTATTTTAGAGATTTCAGGGAGAAATTCATGAACGCACATACATTACCAATGAAGTTATTGAAAAAAATCATCAAAAGAGGCAGATTATATTTTCTATAAATTCTCCTACGGCACTGCAAATTCATTTCAGTTTCTAAATACGTATATAGAGATATTCTAGAGATTTTAGCGAAGGATTCATGAACGCCCATCCATCATTAACGAAGTTATTCAGAAAAAATCATCATAAATGACAGATTATATTTTCTATAATTTATTCTACGGCACTGATAATTCATTGCAGTCTATAAATACATATATTGAGTCATTCTAGAGATTTGGCGAGAAATTCATGAACGCACATCCATTATTAACGAAGTTATTCGGAAAAAATCATCAAAAGTGACAGTTTATATTTTCCATGAATCCTCCTACGGCACTGCGAATTCATTTCAGTTTTTAAATACTCATATGAAGTTATTCTAGAGATTTGAGCAAAGAATTCATGAACGCACATCCATTATTAACGAAGTTATTCAAATATAAAATAATCAAAAATTAGAGATTATATTTTCGATAGATTCTCCTGCGGCACT